GTGTTCTACTAGATCCATGTTGTCCTTATAATTATATTTGGTTTCAGTCAGCACCCACCCAATCAAAGCTAGAAATCCATCGGTAGTCTGGAGACTACAGATGGATTTCTTTAAAAACATAGAACTTGGATCAGTTTGGAGTTTTATACAGGAGGGCCGGAAATCATCTATGGTCCTTGGTTGCAAGGTAAATGAGTAAATGTTCTTACAGGCCATGTTTTTTACAGTATCATGGCAGAGAATTCTGTTATCAGAATCCATCCTGAATCGCTTGCGCTTTAATTTGTGAAAGTACCACACTCCGTTCTTCTCCGTGAAGCAAAAGAGGCCTGGAGTCTGAGGTTGGTTCTTCCCAGAAATCAGTTCCATTGGTTCCCACATCTGATAAGCAACCCCAAAACCGCCATCTACAATGTAGGTTTTGCCCTCAAGAACTAATTTAATCAGGAGATGAGAGAAATCTTTATGGTATGCATTTTGTTCAGGGGCATAAACACACGCTCCTAAAAGACTAACTTTGTAGCCCATAGTCTGGAAGGCCCAGAATAGAAGCTGGTTGTTCTCCATGCACCATCCGCCGCGGTTGTGTTTCACAATTTTGTCATAGATTGGTTCTAAATCCAACTGAATGGTTTCACCACAGTGTAGACTGAGATTTTCAAAGGGCACAGCACGGATGTGATGCTGAAAGACTTCTGTTAAGGTTTCTAGGTCTATTTTTTCCTGGGGACCTTTGTAACAAATTCTTCCAAAATAATCCTTAATATTCATGATGCTTTTTTTTCCTCCCTCCTTCCTGCAGAGTGAAATAAACAGTTAAACGAATTGTATAAACACACCATTGATTTTATTTCACAGTTGCATGAAAGGTTAAAAATATTGCGCAATTGTATAATTTTTTTCTAGCGTTAATATATGCATTACCTGATTGTAATCCATACAAAGCACCTGCAAAGTAAGCCCATCTGTATTTCTAATTTGTGACATGATACAGAGTAAGAGTCATAGCTTAGCCTTTTAATGCCTACATCAGTGTTTTTCAAATGTGGCAACTATAGGATGAGTGGACGTTTCCCTCCCCCTCCTGAGCTCCACACCCAGCTCCGCTCCGCGCTGCCGGCTTAGGGTCAGGCTCTTCCAAACCCACTCAACATAAGAAAACAGAA